ACGTAAATGTTTTTGAGGCAAACGAAGATGTTTTGCGTGAGAATGCAAGGTTTCTCTGGGAATGCAATCGTTTTGTGAGAGAACGCAAATGTTTTGCAGGCGAAAGCAGGTGTTTAGATTGCAAACACAAAGTTTTCGGTGGAACGCAATAGTTTTGCGAGAACGCAAATCTTTTGGAGGTGAAAGAAAGCAGAGTTTTTGTGAGTGAACGCAAAGTTTCTGGGGGAACGCAATTCTTTTACGAGAGAATGCGAAATTTCTCAGTGAATGTAATACTGAATGCAAAAGCATTAAAATACCCCCCCACCCCAATCTCATATTTTTTCCTCACCATGTCCCAATATCTAAACATGCAAAATATTTTAACATACTTATACAAGAGTGAAGTTTATGCTCAAAAACAAGAAAAAAAAATTGCCAATGGGGTTAGAAAAACTAACTTTATTATTTTCTATATATTGCTGTAAATATGTTTGGATACTTAAAACTAGTTTTTTTGCAATAAAAAAAAAGTACACAGACAATGAACAAACTAAATTTTACAGTCAACATTCATAACGAAAACTAATACTGACCAGAGATCAATAGCCTATTCATAATCATTCTGACATGATCTGCAGGCAGCATGTCAGTACTTTTGAGTTTCAGAGTTTAGTTTACTTAAAGGGGTCATATGATGCGATTTCAAGTTTTCCTTTCTCTTTGGAGTGTTACAAGCTGATTGTGCATAGATAAGATCCCTGAAGTTGCAAAGACTAAAGTCACAAACCCAAAGAGATATTCTTTATCAAAGTTAAGACTCTGCCACGCCCCCCTAAAACGGCTCGTTCTAACACGCCCCCACATATCTACCTCACTATGTGGGAATATTTGCATAATGCGCCCAAATGTGCACTCTAGGTCGCTGCTGAAACTAAAGCAATCATCAGTTGGATGGAGAGGACGCCGTTTGTTTTGGGCGCTAATCTACAGGGCGGAGAGAAGATGGTCACGTACCCCTTCGACATGCAGCGTCCACCGCGGGCCACAGACGGCAGGGCAGGTCAGTTGGTGCATGAGTACCAGCACATGAACGAAGAAACCTGGGCCAGGATTCAGCGACAGAACGAGGGCGCTCTCCGCGAAACGGCGGACGAAAACCTGTTCCGCTGGCTTGCCATGACGTACGCACACAGTCACCTGACCATGACGGAAAACCACCGCGGCTCCTGTCACACCGATGACGTCACGGGAGGCCAGGGCATCATCAACCGGGCCAGCTGGAAGCCAGTCGTGGGCAGTATGTGATGATAAGGAGTTTAACAGTCTAGTTTTCTTTAAAAATATATATATATTTATAATTTTTTCCCCTTTAACAGAACATTGTATACAGTATTACAACTTTTCCCTTTCCCCCCATGATAACCCTTACCGCCGAAATAATTACACAAACAAAATTCAATTAAATTACAAAAACAATAATAAGAATAAACAATTTAAGAAGAATTAAAATAAACTTTACAATGTTGTACACATTTACAGATGGACATTATCATTGTAGGAATAATAAAAATGAATAAATAAATAAAGTAGTGCTGTCAAACGATTAATCGCGATTAATCGCATCCAAAATAAAAGTTTTTGTTTACATAATATATGCATGTGTACTGTGTTTATTTATTATGTATATATAAATACACACACATACAGTGTACATACAATGTATATACATTTATATTTTATAGTATATAAAATATATTTAATATGTAAACATAGCATATTTCTCTTAAATATATACATGCATGTGTTTGTATTTATATGCACATAATAAATATACACAGTACACACTCATATATTATGTAAACAAAAACATATTTTCGATGCGATTAATCGTTTGACAGCACTAAAATAAATACATAGATAATAATACAATTCAATACTCAATTTATGTAAAGACACATTCATAGTGATCTTTACATAAATATAAAACCAATCAACAAATCTCTTTTATAATGATCAGTTAAGGGGGAGAGTCTTCATCTTTTCAAAATATGTGATCATAGGTTGCCATGTCTCATACATTTTTTTGACAGATCCCTTCATTAAATATTTAATTTGTTCTAATTTCAAATATAAAAGTGGGACCATTGATTTCCACTCAAGTAATATACTTCTCACTAATAAAATGGCAAAAGCGATAAATTTTTTTTCCTTGTTTGTCAATTATATTTTGCATTCTGGTACACCAAAAATAGCTATTTCAACACTGGGTTTTATTTCTAAATTAAAGGCATCATTTAGTGTTTTAAATATCAGTGTCCAATAGTCACTCAGCTTTTAGCAAGCCCAAAACATATGAAAAAAGTCTGCTTTGTCACATTTACATCGATCACACACCTCATCAATATCAGGGTATATTTTTTAAAGTCTACACTTTGTGTAGTAGGCACGGTGAATGGTTTTGAATTGTATAAGACTGAGGTGTGCAACAGCCAACAGGTTGAGCAGTCTAGTTTTAAAGTAAACATAAAACCAGAATGAACTATTTACCCAGCTAACAAAAATATGTTTACAGGTTTTTTTTTCTCAACTGCTTACATTTTCAAAACTTTGTATCAAGTGAAACTGATGCACTAAAACGCCACAAGCCGGTGACGCCTGCGAGTCAGAACTGTGTAAATGCAATGAAAAAAAGCCCATTAAACATGCATTAAAACACTTTTTACAAACCAATTACAATTTTAGAAAGCACCACTAATTATAAGACACTGTGTTAATATAATTCCTCTGTAGGTCTGCAGAAATATTTGTTGCATTGACATAGAAAACTCTTTGAAAACTGTTTTTCTATCAATAAAATAATATCCTCTCAGCTTTCACAATTTCACTTTTCTGTGTTGCTTTAGGCATGAATGACTTCAGCTACCTGCACACCAACTGCTTTGAGATTTCCATCTTTCTTGGGTGTGATAAGTTTCCGCATGAGAGCGAATTGGCATCGGAGTGGGAAAACAACCGAGAGGCTCTGCTGGCTTTCATTGAGCAGGTTATAAAACACATACAAATCAGATCTCTGTGTGGCATAGTGGCTGAAACTCAAAGCCAGAAGGTGGACAGATGCACAATTTCTGTTTCCAGATAAAATGAGCATTGTAAAACAGCGACAAAGCCTCAAAAAATGTTGATCATGTGACCCACAGGTGCATCGAGGCATTAAAGGAGTTGTGAGAGACGTCGATGGCAATCTTCTAGCAAATGCCACAGTGTCAGTGGAGGGAATCAAGCATGACGTCAAAACAGGTTACAGACTTTCTGTCATTTTAGGTCTTAGAGGACTAATTCATATTGAAGCTTGTTGTTTCACCATGAAATTCTCTCTGTTGCGAGATCATATCTCACACTTTTGGGGTAAAATCTCGCAATTCAGACTTTTTTCCCTCTGAATTGCAAGTTTGCATCTTGACTTTATTTCTCACAATTCTGACTTTTTTTTTTAGTGCGGTCAAACGATTAATCGCGATTAATCGCATCCAAAATAAAAGTTTTTATTTACATAATATATCTGTGTGTACTGTGTATATGCATTATGTATATATAAATACACACATTTACATGTATATATTTATATTCATACAATTTATATTATATATAAATATATTTAATATATAAACGTAATATATATTTTTCTTAAATGTGTGTGTGTGTGTATTTATATATACATAATAAATATACACAGTACACACACATATACTATGTGAACAAAAAATGTATTTTGGATGCGATTAATCGCGATTAATCGTTTGACGACACTACTTTTTTATATTATATTATATTATTTAATTTTATATGATATCATTTAATTTATTATTATTCTTATATATTTATTTATAAATTGTGACAAAAAAGTCAGAAATCATATACCGTATATACAAACTTGCAATTATGACTTTTTTTCTCTTTCAAATTTATACCTCACAATTTTGAATTGCCGTCTCAAAATTCTGACTGTTTCTTTAAATTTTGAGTTTGTATCTTTCAATTCTGAATTTATTATTTAATATATTGTATTATTATTATTTGTCAGTGATTCGGCTGACAAAAAAGTTAGGGAATCCCTGCTTTGATGTGACGTATTTTTGTTTAGTGTGGTATATTTATCCAAACTTCTTTTTTCTTAAAGCTGCCGCTGGTGATTTCTGGCGGCTTCTCAACCCGGGCGAGTATCGTGTTACTGCAAGAGCCGATGGTTATTCTTCTCAGACTCGTCTTTGCATTGTGGGATATGATGCCAATGCGTCGCCTTGCAGCTTCACTCTGACCAAATCCAACTGGGCTCGAATTCAACAAATCATGGCCCAGAGCAGGAAGAGGCCAAGACTGGTTACCAACACCCCTGTGAACACCAACAACCGCGTCAACGTGGAGAGCACAGGGGCCGCCGCGGGCCCCCAGAACGAACGTCTGCGCCGTCTGCGACTGATGCGGATGCGGAAGCTGCGAATGGAGAGGATGAAAGGCAGCACGACCACAGAGACGACCACAACAACGACTCCAACAACCACACTTCCACCCACCACATCAGCAACCTCAACTACAGACCCCTGGTTTTACCTGTGGTTTGACCAGGACAGCGCAACCACTCAGGATTATAACGTTGAGTACAGAATAGGTGAAGATTAGAGACGGATTGTATGGAAATGTGTGGAATATTAAGCTTAAAGCATTCAGGCTCTTACATTACAGATCACGCTCTCTGTGGTACAGAGTATAAAAGACAGAAATATCATTCTTATTTAATTCAAGGGGTCTTATGTGAATAGTCACGAGAATGAGGTATTACTATTGAATGATGGCAAAAAATTTGTTATTTCTGAGCTGTCCTCAAATTACATGCTTGTTTGTGTACACGAATATTATAACGTGCACATGTTTTCTAATAAAAAGTCTCAATATCATTGTGTATCAGTCAAAAAAGCCTCTATATGATTTAAATGTATTCATTAAATTAGTAGATATAATAATTACCTGTTTATTTTAAGCGTTTTGTTTTATTACTGTATTGAAATGTACAAAAATAAATTAAGTAGATTTTTTTAACATAATATATTATTATATATACAGTTGGATGTATGCAACATTTACTTTCTGCCCACGGCTCTCAATCAAGTTCGAGTTTTGGCTCTTTGTAGTAAAATGTTTGGGCACCTGTGAGCTAGAGACTTTTGTTTTGCGCACATATGTCAGGGACTTTTATTTTGTCTCCGTCCGCTTTTACGTCAGCTCCTGCGTGAAGGACTTTTATTTTGAAATGCCGCTTTCTGCCAGCTAGCAAGTTTCTGAAAAAAAAAAAACCCAAAAATCCTCGGAGAATTGTTGTGAGGTGATTAAATATCTTCAGTAAACGCGGACTATTCTGGATGCCAGTGATATTATAATCCATAATACAAATAATAATTCTTTTAAATCCCGTAACAGCGTTCCAGAGACACCGCTGTCAGATTAGAACAATACATAAAAGTTGTTCTGATTAGCTGTTAGCGGATTAGCTTCAGTCTTAGCTGTTTTACACACAGCAGGTAAGAATGACAATTCATTACGTATATATACACAATGTCACATGACTGTGCCTGTTTAAGAAAGATTAAGAACGATTATTCTGTCGATATCAGGGTATTTCAGAGCTAGCACGACTGCTAAGCAGCTGTTTAGTCATCTCTAGCCTGTTGAACTGTATTGAATCATTGTGACACATCCGCTTTATAAACCTTTCGATAATCGGATCCAGTGCTTTCAAGGTTTGGGACCCTCTTCAGAGGCTCTGTATGGGCTGACCTGATATATATGGGTGTGGAGTAATAGTTTAAGATCTGGGCTGGTAGCTAAAAGGTTGTAGGTTCAATCAAGACTGCAGGAGAGTTATGTGTATCTGTATTAAGGTGCTATCTTGCCTGCAATCACTGTTGCCAACTAATTTTCAGGGGAAGTTGCTAAAGGGAGGTCGATTTGTTGCTGGAAGTTGCTAGACGACGTCGTGATGTCATTGCGTGATGACGTCATTACGTAAGCACGACGCAAAAATTGTCACTACGTCAAATCTCAGTAAAAAAAATATATTTTTATGTGTTAATTTAGATTTGTTAAAATATAAATAACTTTTTATATACCACATCGAATTATTGAAAGAACGCTTACACATTTTTGAAGGATTACAAGCTTTTTTTTATTAGCTAGTGAACTAGTAAAACTACACATTCTGAACAATTAGTTTTAAGCAGTGTATTAGTAGTCAGTGTGCTACACTCTAAGAAAAGAATTCACAGGTTTTTACCGGCATTTTACATTACGCATTGTATTTTGTGTTTCGGGTTACAACGGATGATGTCCTGGAAAATTACTAGAAGCCTACCTTTTCCATTTTTGTAGATATTTTTCTTAGTGTACTAAAATGATCAACAATCACAGGTACAACAAGGTGTATCATAAATGAACAATTAATCAATAAAACAGTCTTAAGTCAACCTTACAGTTGTATTTTTTATAATTTAGTAATTTGTTTCTAAAAAAAATACAAAAATTGATAATAAAATAATTAGTTGGTTCAATAATAAGTAAGTAGCTCAGTATAAAATCATCTGCTAAATATGAATAATCAGTAATAAAAAAAACAGTACTGAATCAACCGTGGTGCTGTATTTTATGTTATTTATTAAAAAATAAATCAAAATAATTATAATCCACCATGGTTGAATCAATAATAAGTGCTGTGTAAGTTGCTTAGGGGAAAAAACCCCTGCTGAATATGAATAACCAATCAATAAAACCAGTCTTGAATCAACCTTAGTGTTTAATTTAATTATTTTGTTATGTTTTTTATAAAATAAGTAAATAAATGAAGTGAAATAACAAAAAATTATAAGTGCAGTGTGGGTCGCTCAGGATAAAATCATCTAGATATGAATAATCGATCAATAAAAACCATCCCAGTAATAAAAAAAACAGTACTGAATCAACCGTGGTGCTGTATTTTATGTTATTTATTAAAAAATAAATCTAAATAATTATAATCCACCATGGTTGAATCAATAATAAGTGCTGTGTAAGTTGCTTAGGGGAAAAAAAACCCTGCTGAATATGAATAACCAATCAATAAAACCAGTCTTGAATCAACCTTAGTGTTTAATTTAATTATTTTGTTATGTTTTTTATAAAATAAGTAAATAAATGAAGTGAAATAACAAAAAATTATAAGTGCAGTGTGGGTCGCTCAAGATAAAATCATCTAGATATGAATAATCAATCAATAAAAACCATCTTGAATCAACCATTATATTATTAATATAAACTATGATTATTCGTTAAAATAAATAATGTGTCATTTTTGTAGTGTCATTGCAGATCCTGTTCAGAAACGCCATGAAACTCTACAGTCTGAGCGTCTTGCATAAAGGCTCAACGAAGGCCAACCTGCTGAAGGCGGCGTATGATCTGTCATCATTCAGTTTCTTCCAGAGATCCAGGTACAATATCTAGAATGCTCTCGTCGTTATATGCTTTTATTAAGCTACAAAACTATTTTAGATGGCCAACAAAACCGTTCTCGTTGCAGCGGACCGTAAGCTGTTTTTCTTTTGCAGTATACAGGAGTTTATGACGTTCACCAGCGCACTGATTGTTGAGCGTTCAGCATTAGGAAGCCGTGCGTCTGTCAAAGAGCAAGGTCAGTGATGGTCTTGAAGATGAAGTCTTATTAAATGCTTGCCACTGGCCTGATTGTAGCTGTTGAGTTTAATTATAGCTTGTTCAGGATGAAGGACTAGTTATTAGGCTCACTCTCATGTAATTAAAGCACCAAACTGATCAGCCGAACTACTGAGAGCCATTTTCATTTTAATGTTTTAGAAGCTTTTATATACTGTGTGTGTCTGTATAGTTTTTATAAAAATTTTTAGTACAATTAATTAAACTAAATAAATATAAGAAATGTTGCATTGGCATCTAGCTGAAAAAAATAAGTTTTTAATATTCCTGTCATCATTCAGTTTCTTCCAGAGATCCAGGTACAATATCTAGAATGCTCTCGTCGTTATATGCTTTTATTAAGCTACAAAAGTATTTTAGATGGCCAACAAAACCGTTCTCGTTGCAGCGGACCGTAAGCTGTTTTTCTTTTGCAGTATACAGGAGTTTATGACGTTCACCAGCGCGCTGATTGTTGAGCGTTCAGCATTAGGAAGCCGTGCGTCTATCAAAGAGCAAGGTCAGTGATGGTCTTGAAGATGAAGTCTTATTAAATGCTTGCCACTGGCCTGATTGTAGCTGTTGAGTTTAATTATAGCTTGTTCAGGATGAAGGACTAGTTATTAGGCTCACTCTCATGTAATTAAAGCACCAAACTGATCAGCCGAACTACTGAGAGCCATTTTCATTTTAATGTTTTAGAAGCTTTTATATACTGTGTGTGTCTGTATAGTTTTAATAAAATTTTTTAGTACAATTAATTAAACTAAATAAATATAAGAAATGTTGCATTGGCATCTAGCTGAAAAAAATAAGTTTTTAATATTTAATTTGATTTCAGTTCATTTTTTTCCCCAAGTGTGTTTATTTTAAGGTTTTCATTCTAGTTTCAAATGAACTGATAAGCATTTATGTAACGGCATTTCTGTTGAAACTTGTATGTCATGTATTTAAATGTATTTGTGATTCTTGATGTATTTATTCTAGTGCTGTCAAACGATTAATCGCATCCAAAATAAAAGTTTTCGTTCACATAGTATATGTGTGTGTACTGTGTATATTTATTATGTATATATAAATACACACACATTCATGTATATATTTAAGTGTTTTTATTTAAATGTTACGTTTATATATTAAATATATTTATATATAATATAAATTATATAAATATATACATGTAAATATTTTCAAAATATATACTGTATGTGTGTGTGTTATATGTACATAATAAATATACACAGTACACACACAGTTTTCATATTTTTAGTGAAGTTACAATTTTAGCAGGTAAAATTATAATCATTATTTTAATTTAGTGTGTTAGTCAACACATTAAAATAAGTGTACTTAAAGCACGGCAAAACAACTTAAAGGGGTCATATGATGCAATTTCAATTGTTCCTTTCTCTTTGGAGTGTTACAAGCTCTTGGTGCATAAAGAAGATCTGTAAAGTTGCAAAGACTAAAGTCTCAAATCCAAAGAGATATTCTTTATAAAAATTAAGTCAGCCACGCCTGCCTAAAACGGCTCGTTCTAACACGCCCCCACATATCTACGTCACTATGTGGGAAGATTTGCATAACACGATGTTCACGCAAAGAAAGAAGGCGTAACTTTTATTCTCGCTGTAGTATTGTTGCCGCCACCGCCACTATGTCGTGAAGACGCTGTGTGTTTCGTTGTGAAAGCGAAACTACTTTGTTTGGTCTTCCAAAAGAGGACGATATCCGCTTCGTCATGCCTAGAGCTGATTCATGCTGGTCGCTGAGGAAATACATCAACTTCACGCTGTGGATCGCCGGATCGGCTTTCATCGTGGACGAAGCGGAGTCTAGCCCGGGGTCGTCACATGTGATTGCCGCAGGCATCACAGTATGGTGAGGGGCGTAACATTTCCGTCTCACGCTTGAGGAATTCGGCCAATCACAACGCACTGGATAGCTGGCCAATCACAGCACACCTCGCTTTTTCAGACCGACGAGCTTTGTAAAAATCAACGCGTTTCAGAAAGGCGGGGCATAGAGGAGAAACAATAATGTACAGTATGTGGAAAATAGTGTTTTTTTAACCTTAAACCGCATAAACACATTTCATTACACCAAATACACCAAATAATGTTCTTTTTAGCAGCATCATTTGACCCCTTTAAACATGACTTGATGTAATTTGAAGTAAAATATTTAATTTGACATTACAAAGTACAATTAAGATCGTGGTCATGA